TAATTTTTGTTTACAGTTTTCGAATTCAAGAGCAGTTTTTGAGAGCCGTTTCTGTAGCCTTCGAGGATATTTTCCGTTAAATTAATTGAGGTTCAGTCTCGGAATTTCGTAAGCGATTATGAATGATAGATTCGTAACGGCATCATAATTAGGGAAATTTTGTCAACACATAAACAATTTACAATTCGCGAACTATTTATGTAACCTGTTTGGATATTCTCTACTGAACTTGATATATTTATTGTACAAGGCACCCCTCAAGGAGGAAGGTTAGAATAAAATTGCTTTTACGACCGTATATTACACCCAGTTTAAATATGTAGATAATTACTTTAAAAAAAAAACCTATTATTGCTGCAGAAGTATAGACATGTACGTAATATGCTTCTGCTTTATTTTATTGTAAGGAGTTTCTTTTTATGTAACATGTATCCATTCCTTAATTTCCTCCTTAACCTGCCTGCAAATGATTAAATTTTATGTTTTAATTCAAGATAAAACAGAGGTGTTGCAGAGTTCTCTTTCCACATTGAATTCAGATGAGAACATCAGTGAACTAGTTAAAATAACGTGCTTCTCCTGAATCTTTAATTTTTATTCCCCTGTTTTGTTTTTTCTTCATCTATAATATCTACACTATGAACCAACTCTAAAAAAAGAATATACAGATAAATTGAAATAAACAAATGTAAAAAAATTACAATTGTGTTTGTTACTTAAAGTTCCTTGCATAAAAGCTGTCTTTTCACACTACAGCATAAGAAATTGTACTCAGTTATGTTTCTACTAGCTACAGGGAGCTTATTAAAAGTAGTTGCTGCCGAGAACTGAAATGTTTCTGATTCTCTCGGAATAGAAAGGACAGGCGCAATTAATGCTTGACATGCTTCACTCATACATGTCAGTTGTGTGTACCTACCATTGTAGAGGTTTTTTAAAAAAGATTTTTTTTAACAAGGCAAGCTCAAGGGTGGAAGAGTAGAAGACCATAGAATGATGTTCACAAGGCAATTGCACTTACCGCAATCAAGTAATTCTCCTTACTGTCAACCACTGATACAATTCTTATAATGCTATTTCTGAGAACTTAGTATTGGATCAACTATCCCCAAATTGATATTTTTCTTTATTCTCATTATTTATCTGGTTGAAATTGTATTCATATTGTAGGGAGAAATTCTGTCTTGGTCACTCATGGCCGGGAGTTAAAGGGTTTATCACTCGTAAGGTTTGCCTGCAGTGTGTCAAATTGCCAATGTGGACTTGATTCTTATAAGATGTCAGCTGGTTAAAGATAGACACTAAAAATAGCTGTCCATAAGAACAAGTACACATCATAAAAAATCAACTGAAATGGTGGCATGATTGGGATATTTAGAATGACAGAAACAGGAAAAAAACATCGAGCTTTTTTCTATTCATCAGACCCCGGTTGTTCGAAGATCGGATATCGCTATCCACTGGATAAATCTCTATCTGGTGAATAACGTTCTGCGTTTTGCCATTACTTATCCGCTAGATAGCCATTTATCCGTTGGATAGTGTTATCCGCCCTTTGTGCAACTGGGCCCAGTAAGTTAATTAGATCTTGGATTCTACATTCAAACTGGGTGAGAATAAATTTATTCATATCGTGCTTCATTATGATTTGTTTACCTGGAAAGGTAATTGTTATTATAACAATCCCAACAACATCAATAGGGAGAGTAGAATCGAAATTCCCGACGCTTGGATACCCACGATCAAACAACACAACAGCCGGTCAATGGGGACCTATGAGGGAACACTATCCAACCACCGTAATGATAATGCGGATCGAAATGCACCAATAGCAACGAACCATCGTGCTACAAATAGTGACACATAAACAATCGAGCTCATCGTCTGATGAAGACTAGCCAACCTTATCGCTACAATTAAAATAGTCATTTAAGCCATTACCGAGGACTGTGTTTGATCTTGGGTATCCAAGCTTCGGGAAGTTCACACAACATAACAG